GCCAAAAATGAGCTGTCAGTGCCAGAAAACAATTTGGTTTTTTCTCCTCCAGTTTTCACAGCTGGCATGCTTTCAACTTGAGAAATTTAAACATTTTAGGTGACCGTGCCATTAGCTCATTTTGTAGGAAAAAGTTATGTATATGAAACAAGAACACAAAGGGAATGGATTATTCAAAAGAAGTTTTCCAGCTGACCAGTACATCCGGCAAATTGCACTGTTGCTTTTTGGCTGCTTGAAGAATGTTTGGACTTTCATTTGATCAGGAAAAATGAAATAAAATCTATGTTTTGTTTTGCATTACTGTCTATACTTGCAAAGCAGTCTGGCAGCTTTTCCCCCGTGTAACAACCCAGCATATGGGTCAGATCTATATACTTGGTTTTCCAAAGGTCACTTTGGCTCCTTTCTTGCCATGTCACTGCAATAAGCATTATTCTGTGAAGCACAGCACTGACTGTGCCTTCCAGAAAATGATGCTGATTTTCACATTTCCAATCTTTAGAGGGGATTTAGCACACACATCCATGTCTGCTACATAGCCAGGGTTCTGCTTCACTCTGTGTACAGATACATATGTGCCTATTCAATGCAGCGTTGTTAGAGCAGCAAACTTCCCAGAGCTGGTATTATCAGAAGTTACTAGTGAGAAGGAAAGTCTGACCTCACTGTTTGCTTGAAACTGAAGTTTCAATAAGTAATTGTTGCAATGAGCTGCATTTCCTTCCTAGGGAGGCAGGATACTCCGCAGCTCAAAGTGTGGCAGGGGCACCAAGCCCTCTGCCCTGCTGCTGACACAGGCACAGGCACAGCTTCGTGAGTGACCTCAGCAGCTCAGGGAATGGAGAGAGAGTGCCTGGTGGGTGGAGAGACTTTGTTAATAATTGCAATAGAGAACTTGCAGGCACTGCAATATAAATGCTGCAAGTAGTATAAGTGGGAAAAAAAAAAAAAAGTAGTCGTTACCACAGAACAACAGAACAAAGGTTTTCTTAAAAACAAACAAGTAAATAAAGATGGCAATGGTATCATTGTTGAATAATTGATACGCAGCCAATGACTGATCGAATAAATCTTTCCTTACCTGGGACTCTGTTGTGAATTTGTCTCAACTGTGAACAAGAGGCAGCAGGAAGAGAGATGTGGGAAGAAATTACTCATGTTGTTGGGCATGTGGGCATTTATGAAGGCTATTGGGGTAAACAGAAGTTACTTCTCTCAGCACTGTAAATGTACAATGCTGTGTGAATGTAGAACACGTGGTAACTACCTACTTACTTAGGTAATTACATTTTTTATCTTGTGTATATTCATGAATAGTGCTGAGCAAAATTTCCCTCTGTATTAGATTTTTGGGTGACTTTTTTGGTTTTGTTTACCATTTTTCTGCTATTAGTTTCTCTCAAAGGAGGATTTTTCATTCCCTTCTTTGATATGTTCAAACATTGTCACATGTAGTGACATGAAATGATGTCACTACAGGGCAACCCATTTTTATTAAATCTGTCCTTTCCTGCCTATGGGCCGCTGGCTGGCCAGTGGGAGCCTGGGACCATGACCCACCAGCAGGATTTAGTGGCCCCAAGAGAGCAGCTGCCCCTGAGAGCATCAGCTGCTGCAGCCAGCGCCCCGGAACTGACTAAACTTTGTACTGACTTCAACTGAGTGCTGAGGCTTTCTGTTACTCCAGCAAACACCCACACAAGTTTCTCCGCCTTCTGTTTACAGCTCTCTTCATGAAGGTGGGTCGTCAGCATCCGAAGGGATCTGAAGTCTGACAGCAGAACTCAACAGGTCCCTGAGCTGAACCTGTAGGCGTACAGCCCCACTTTCTTCTATCTCAAATGAATTATTTTATGAAGCTTAATCACTTAATTAAGGATCTTAATTACTTTTGTGACCTCTATCCTTCTGCCAGATTTAACTCAGACAAGCTCACAAGTTGAGTTACGGGGCCAAAGAGCAGCCCAGGTGATGGCAGGGACATGGACGAGGCCCTGTGCTGGCCTCACCTCTGCAGGAAATTGGCTGAAATGGCACTGCTGAGCTCAGTGACACAAGAGGAGCAGAGAGCGCGAAAGCAAATGGCTCTGATTTAAGAGCCTGAATGCAGAAGGCAGCTCTATTTGTTATGATTTTTTCATGCCAATGAGCACCCAGGAGCAGAACTCAAATGAGCAGTGCCTTCTGCTTCACCATGAGTCACTGCCTCTGTCCACAGAGGGTGAGGGAGACATGGAGGTTTCCACAGAGGCGTGTGCTCAGCGCAGCATGTCACTGCATTGCAGGGCTACTTGGGTGGGGCTTGGTGGGATGCAGGCCTTGTGGCACCTGTGCAGTGAAACCTGATGCTTCCTGCATGCTGCCAGACCCGATGTGGGGACCAGAGGAATAGCAGCTTTGTCCCAATATGCTCCTGCAATGTGTTTTTTTTTTTCTTTTTTCTTTTTTTTTTTCTGTCATTATTGTCTTTGGCTGGTTATTGGCCATTTCTGTGGCCTCCCAGGGTCACCACTGGACTCCATCACAGATTTCTTTTCTGCTGGCTGTTGTTACCAGGAGTCCAACATTCATTTTCTTGAAAATGAGAAGCCCATCTGTTTACTTCTGACCTCTCTGACTGTTAAACTTGTTTATCTCTCATAGATTTCTATGAAGTCATAAACTTGTTTATCATAGATTTCTATAAGGTCATAGAATACCCTCTCTTTAATCCTTTTCAGCACTCCGGTGACTGCCAGGTACAGTCAGGGCCCTGGGGCAGCATCCCGCCAGGCTGGAGGCCTAAGTTAGGCACCTGGTGAGGTGAGCAGAACAATGAGCACTGTGCCTCATTATTCAGTTTCCATGGCAGTGAGCAGGAGGTGAGTCATGCCTGATTTTGACTTGTCATCCTTGGAGCATCAGCCCAGCTGTGTCCCATGGCAACTTCTCTTCCACACCTTGCTGTCTGTGCCTCGGTGTTGGAAGTGGGGCTCTGTGCAAGTGGGGAGGGTGTCCTGTGGAGGCATGAGACTGGGGCACTTTGGTGGGCTTGTACAAGTGTCAGGAGCAGCCTGTTGAGGCCACAGCAGTGTTGGGATTTAGTGGCAATGCAGGATGTCCTGCATATGTGCGTGACTAAATCCATTTTCAAATGCTATGAATCCCTTCCTGCTGTTTTCCCGGTGGCCTCCTGGCATTGGGTGCAAGGACACAGAAGGGCACGTGCCACGAATACTGACACACTACGGTGTCTCAAATGGGTTTGTGATTCACCAAACCATGCTGAGCAGCTGGAGTTCACCAAAGCCTGAAAAGCTGTGTGGGAGACATCCTAAAATGGGGCTGAAGAGATGGTCTCATTGGACTTACATTGTTGTAAGTCAACCATAAAACTGCATCTGGAGAATTATCCATTTTAGGAGTTGTGCTGTTATTTTCCATGAATTTTCACCTATCCTACCTAATTACTTGTATGATCAAAACCACATGTTGTATTTGAAAACTGAATTGTGGTATGGATTACACAAAATGCAATTATGCAGTACCAGCCCACTTCCTGGGTCTGACGCTGCTGGCAGCACAAAGGGGTGGCCACAAAGTGGCAGCAAAGTGGCCGTCTTTGGCTCTGTGTTGGCAGGGTCTGCATGGATGTGAGGGGCTGGAACCATAGTGCATCTATAGGGTAGTGGCCTTAAGGCTGATGGGCCACATTTTGGATCTCACTGAGTTCAATTCAGGCCTGGACTCTGAAATCTGGGAGGGCAGGATGTGACATATCATGTCAACATGATGGCATGTGGTAACGGAGAAAGGGGGGAAAAAAACCCACACATCACACAGCACAGTATGAACATACCCATCTGTACACATACATGCATCAGTTTGGCACAACAAGACACCATGAGCAGCTCGGGTGTTTTGGGGAGCTGGGTGCTCACGCTCACTGCCAGGTGGATCCTGCCTGCCGAAGAGCCCTGGGCTGCCACACAGCAGCTCATGGGATGAGAGCCGCGTCGCGTCGTGCCAACAGTCCCCACACCTTGCTGCACTGGAGACACAAAGGTCCACGTCTGGTGTCCCGTGCCTGACCCCTCCCCGACCCAACACAGACAAGTGGCACGCTCCCAGGAGGGCTGTTCCTTCTCGTTTTCCTAGAAGCCATCTTCCTATCTTTTAATACTACTCCTTCACCCCTGCACGCTGCGCCCTGCCCCGCCGTATCAGCGCTTCTTTCAGACACGTCTCTGTGCTGCCAGGCGCTGTCCCCGTGCCAGGCCGCCCAGATCTTTGCTCACAGACCGACGACAGCCACAGCAGCAGCACAACTCCCATTCAAGTGGAATAAGGAAATGGCAAACGGCAGCAATAACACAAGCCCCTTGCGTGGCGTGCACAGAGCCCAACCCCGGGCCACGTCCGGCAGGGCGGGCAGCGATGGAGGGACAGTGACTGCCGAGCGGCACAGAGTACCTGCGCTCAGAGCGGCCGCTCGGAGCGAGCCGCAGTGCGGGGCAGGGCTGCGCTCAGCCTCCGGGAGCCCGGCCGCCATCGCGACCCTGCCGGGCGGCGCGGCCACACGTCTCGGTACTCGACGTCCACGTTCCGGCAGCGAACGGGCGGCAGGGCAGCCCCGAGGGGAGCCGGGCGGCGAGAGAAGGCCGCGTCCAGACCGCATCACCGGGCCGCCCGCTCGGCCGGGCCTCGCCAGCACAGGGGGCCGGCCAGGCACCGCGTGGGGCTGCGGGCGGGGGCCGAGGCGCGCGAGTAAACGGAGGCGCGGGCAGCCGGGCTGGAGAAGGAAGCACGGCTTCCTCCCGCCGCCTTCGGGCCGTTCCCCGCGGGGGGCGGCCCGGCGGGCCCCGGCTGCGGGCGCCGAGAGCCGGGCGGGGCGGGCCGGGCCGGGCCGCTGGCACGTGGTGGCGGCGCTGCCCATGTGACCGGCCCTCCCCGGCCGCCGCGGCTCATCCCCCGCCCGGCCCGAGTCCCCGCCCGCCTCGCCCCCAGCGCAGCGCAGCGCAGCGCTCTCCTGCGCGCAGCAGCCCCGCACCGCAGGCAGCCGCCGCCGCCCCGGACCCGGCGCCATGGTAAGGGCGGCGCGGCGCGACCGGGCGGGGAGGCGGCCCCGGGGCCGAGAGGCCGAGCGGGCCCGGCGCGCTCAGACCCCGCGGCCTCCGGCGGCCATTTTAGTCTAATTTTAGCCCGGTGCGGGGGGAAGGGGCGGTGGGAGCGGCTCCGGGGCGGCGGCGGGCGGCGGGACCGAGGGCCGGCGGCGGGCGGCGGGCGCGGCGCTCCCCGCGGCCGCCCCGGCGGCGTCCGTTCGCGCGTCCGTGTGTCTGCGCGCCGAGGCCGGGCGGGCCGCGGGGAGGGGGCTCCCGGAGGGCCGCGTCTCGCTGGGCCCGGGGCGCTGCCGCAGCCGACGGGGCCGGGCCGGGCCGAGCGGCATCGCGGCGGGGCCGCGGCGGCGGGGCCGGGCGGGGATGCGGCGCGCCGGGGCCGGGCGGGCGGCGAACAAAGCGCGGCGGCGGGCACGGCTGCTCGGACAAAGCCGCCGCCCCGTGCACCTGCCCGCACCCAGCGCTCGGGCCCAGATGCAGCGGTTGCTCCGAACGCAAGGGCGCTGCGGATGTGCTCGCTGGCTCGCGAGTAACTGTTCCGCGGGTTTGTTTTTTTGTCACCGCGAGCTGCCCGCTCGCCCCGTCAGCGTTTTGTTTTCTTACTGCTGTGGGCTTGGGGTCTGGCGGCTTGGTAGCGTTACGGGAGCCGCACGCGTTGTAACCCCGCTTTGCTCGGGAAGAAATAACGATCGGAGAACACTGGCGGTGCGAAATAGAAGTGGGGAGTTGTTAAAGCGCGGTGTCGGGGCTGACACAATGCAGAAAGCATCTCTCCTGCTTGTGGAGCCTTACATCACCCAGCAAAATGAGAGTCATGACAGTGCTGGCTGCGAACTGCTGCCGTAGCGTTTGTTCCATCGCAGAAACCCACCCCGGCCCCAATCTACACAAACTCCCGCGTCCAGCTCCCTCCCCGCCCCCAAGTGTGCGATCAGGTAATGGAAAAGTGTGGGAGCGGTGCGGCTGTGCGGTCCCATAGAAGCACCGTCCGGAATTAAATCGATGCTGTGTGGACAGGGTTTACACCTCCTTTATGTCCTCTGCACCAGTCCTGCAAACACGAGCAGCCACACTGTGCGCTCAGGTTGAGCGCGGTGTTTCTGTTGCTACAGGGGCAGGTGGAGTTCTTTATCTGCTGCTGCGGGCTGTTGCCTTGTTTAGCGAATGTTAATTTTTGCTGCTTAAATTATTCCTTTGATCTCATTTTACAGGCTTCTGGAGTAACAGTGAACGATGAAGTCATAAAGGTTTTTAATGACATGAAAGTAAGAAAATCTTCAACCCCAGAAGAGATTAAAAAAAGAAAGAAAGCCGTTCTCTTCTGCTTAAGTGATGACAAAAAGCAAATAATTGTAGAGGAGGCAAAGCAGATACTGGTCGGTGACATTGGAGATACTGTGGAGGACCCCTATACAGCCTTTGTGAAGTTGCTACCATTGAATGATTGTCGATACGCTTTGTACGATGCCACGTATGAGACAAAGGAATCTAAGAAGGAAGACCTGGTATTTATATTCTGGTGTGTAGAAGCTAAGCTTGCAGTTAAATTCAAATATGCGTGACTTAACACTGGTTGATTGAATAACTGTTTTTCCTCCTTTAAAGGGCTCCTGAAAGTGCACCTTTAAAAAGCAAGATGATCTACGCAAGCTCTAAAGATGCCATTAAAAAGAAATTTACAGGTACGGACCTAAAAGTGTCTTGGTTGTAAGTCCCAATACTGTTTAGACACTGCGGTTCTCACAAATACCCCATTGTCCATCTGTCTTTCAGGTATTAAACATGAGTGGCAAGTAAATGGTTTGGATGATATTAAGGACCGTTCAACACTCGGAGAGAAACTGGGAGGCAACGTGGTAGTTTCACTTGAAGGAAAACCCTTATAAAAAGACAGACAAGTGCCATCTGGATCTAAGGAGCTTCCATTTCTGCAGCTCGTTCAATTGGAATAGTATTAGTCTCCCTTTCTCCTTCCCTCCTCAAAAATAAGTCCCTTCCCTTCTGCCCCTGAAGGAGATGTCATTGTTAAGCAGTCTACCAGTGATTGCCATTAGACTGTTTAATCCTGGTAGTTTTATGTAGGATCCAAGGAATGCTTTCACGTCATACTCTTAGCCAAAACTGACGCTGCATGCATTCCTTGCCACACGTACAATGAATGTGATAGTTAATGTGAATAGTCTAGCAGACAGCAAAGGGTAAGCTAATTGAATGCCTTGAAAGTATTGTCCACTGGTGGGATGGTAGACTCTATACAGTATTACTTACAGTTGCACTTGATTGCAGTTCCATGAGGCTCTTGTGCATTCATACACCTCACCTGCCTTGACAAGCCTATTTTTGTGACATGGCAGCACACAACACTATGCATTTAAAGCACTTTTTTGTAATATGTTTGACCTGCCCCTCCCCCCCAAAGGAATGCCAATTAAGTTGCTGTAACTGTGTCATCAAATTCTTGTGGTACCTCAGTTTCATTCCTGTTACATGCATATCTTTATAAATGAAGTAGCTGTTACGATGCCTTTTGTTTTCCATTGAATGTACACTACTGAACAGGAGTAGAGGTTATCTGTTTACCATGTGAGTCTTGAAACACTAAAGTTTTGTAAAACATTGGTCATGATGGCAATTTCTGTATTAAAAAGAGCCTTAAATGGAACATTGTTTTTGAGATCAAAAACTGGCCACGTTGCAATAAAACTTGTGGCTTATTACAGAATGTTGCCTTGTTTTCATTGGAAAATATAGTTTTTAAGTATGTTTAATTTAAGCATATTTCAAATAACTTCTGTGGAAAGTATTGTAAAGATAAACAATCATTAATCTCATCATAAATAGTGCAAGTTTTTCATTCCTAATCATGATTTAGGCACGGCTTTACAATACTTCGTGGCGCTATTCTGATCGTTCGGTAAAGGACCTATTCCTAGTTTACCGTAAAAGCAGCTGCTGCTGCTAGAGGCTATTAGCTTCCATGAAACACTTGTGTCAGAAACTTACGAGTACTGAGGAATTAACCATGCAGTGTGTTTCGTACCTGAATGCTCTTAAAGTTCTACATGTCAGAGTAAAACCTTACATGATATCTTGCAGCTCTCTGTTTTGATAAGATGAGATGTAATGACAGTTATATGTAATGTGGAATACAGGTTGGTGAAGTTTCTGCTTCTTAAGCGTTACAGTTAGCACTGACTTGGTACAAGAAGTATCCTCGATGAACTGTTCTGCTTGTTAACTTCTATGTAAATAGAACTGGAAAGTGTTTGCCACTACTGAGGCTTGCACTGGGGACATGTTTTGGCTGGGAGCCAGATAATGCTCTCCTTATAGAGAATTTGATCTGCTCTGTGTGAGCAATCCTCCGTTAGCCAGAGCTATTTATGGCAAACACATGCTTTTGTATCTTGTCATCGTTATCCACAAATGGCAAAACTGGACATGATTCTGCTGGTATGCGTAAAGGCACTCTGTTAGGCAGCCAGTCACAGCTGAAATGTACGTGCTGCCAAAAGGAATGCTCTTTATCATTACCTTATTTTAAAAAGTTGGTGGAGTAGAACTGAGGAGCTCTTAAATATTGGCCCTTTACTTTCAATTCATAGCCCCCTTTTTGCAACAAGAAGCAGATAATCATCAACTTTTTTTTTTTTTTTTTTTTTTTTTTTTTTTTTTTTTTAAGTTTGAATAAATTAAAGATACTGTGTTTAGGCTTTCTTGTCCTGTAGAACTTTAAGACCTTATTTCAGGCTTCTGGCTGTCCTCACGACTTGCACGCCTCATTGTGTTGGCTGTTCTCTGTAGGCTAAACTCGACTAGAATTTAACTAAAAAGGCATGACAACCACTGACTTACTAAGTGTATCAATGAGTCTTGGTTTTGTTCTACAAAACTCTCCTTTCAGGAATCTTTTAAGGCTGAAAAGTAACTGATGGTATGCATGTTGTCTATTTAAAAAGCAACACCTTTTTATTCCTCAAATTAGTCTCTTTATTTCTGATTGCTCACGTTGCGTGCAAAGCCCAGTTTAATGTAAAAATCTACTTCGTTCTTTATGTTTGACTTGAGTTCAGTATAATGAAATAATCGTTTTAACTGATTTTCACAAGGTATAAGTGGTTTCTTTAGAAAAAAAGCCAAATCTGAAAATGTTAAATTTTAATAAACAATTTGAATCTCATTCTAGACAGTAAAGTTTTTTGTTTTGTTTTGTTTTTAAGTAATACTGTGTTTAAATTTAATGTTTGTCTCTGCTGCAAACAGTCTGGAAAGATGTCTGTGGCTTCTGAACTGAATATTATTATTATTTTTTTTTAACTAGCTTATATGTATATACACTCAGTCCAAGTAGATATAAAATTGAAGCACAAACTGTATTTATGTAAGATTCAAAGCTACCAAACCAAGTTTTGGATCAGAAAGGATCAGCCTGCCTTCAGTTAGTTCTTGAAATGACTGACGGATGCGAGGTCCAATTCACATGGCTTGCTTTTTTTTAAAAAAAGAAACAAACAATAAAGTGCTACAGAACTGTTACTGCTTGAATTATAAAACAGATGAGAGACAGCTGGCATCTGCTCCAAAATGGTTTGTCAGCTGTTGTTTTCTGTCATTATGCAAAATGGTGAGGGCCTCATTGTGATCGAGGAGTAGAGGAAAATCCTCTCAAGTTGAATATCTTCTGTGTATCTCGATGTAGACATGACTTTTGGGTATCTTGGCTTCAGTTACTTTATTGATAAACATTAAATAAAATTTTCATGAGAGTAGCATGTGCAGAAATGGCATTTTTCTTCTAAGAAATAGTTCAAAACCAGCGGTTGTTTTGTTTTGATTTGGTAAATCCTGGAAAAGGTATAGACATACAGGCCTGATTTCTCTGACAAAGGAAATCAAGCCCCTGACTGGGTGAGTAGGTGATGTTTGTGGTTGTGGCGATTTTGCAAAGTTTAAATTTATAAGGACTTAAGTGTAAGAATCATTCCCAGTCAGATCCTTAAGCAGGCTTTGAGTATGGTCAGTTAAAACTCACAGAGTCCATTTTTCTGAGCAGAAGAGTCTCTCTCTCTGCTGTGTAATTCCCTCTGAACCTGCAGCGTACTACAGCAGCAAATTGCCACAAACTGATAATAAGCTTTACTCTCTTATGCCAATTCCAGTATAAACCAAATTTTCATGTCTGCCTTTTTTCATAAACTTGTAAGTTCCCCTTAGTTTGTGGTGGAGAGTTAACAATTGTAGAGTGAAAACATGGCACTAATGGTGGATGAAGGATCATCAATGTAGCACCTGTCTTTAAGTATTGAATTTCTTTAAAATATTTCTGATTTTGAAAACCTGGTATAAATAAAATTAATTTAAATGTCACCAAATGTGAGTGAGTTTTGTGTTCTAGGCTACACTAATTGGTTTAGCTGTTGTCTTTGGATTGGGAGTGATTCAAACAACGCAGAAGGGCACGTTGTGGAGTAAATGCATTGTACCAGGCATTTTTGTAATGGATTTCACCTGCACCCCACTCAGTACAGTAACCAGCTGTAGCAAAATGTAGGTGTAAAGAAATACTTGGTGGATAGATGCTGAATAGCCTTTTTCTCTGTGTTGGATCTCGGGTTGTATCTCAGAAAATTAGATTGTTTGTTTGTTTGTTTTTGAAGTTAGTAAAAACTCTGTGCTGACAAGTCTTTTAATGCTTTAGAGAAAGTGGGTTATTGAAATATAGAAGAGGTGACTGCGAAGCACACACAGAGTGATGAAAATTGCCTGTTTGGTTCCAGTGGTATCTCTACTGTCAATGGAAATGTTCTTATATCTAGGAGTAGCTTAAATGGAGGGGAGTCAATCTTGTGAACAAATCTCAGTAACTAGTCGAGAAACAGTTTCATCAGGTTACCTGGTAAAGACTTAATTTTACTCAGTGATTTATTGATTTTTTTTTTTTTTTTAGCATTTACCTGACACACGCTTTCTGTGTGGTTGTTTAGGGGATATATATGAAAATAAGCATTAATGGTGAGTAAAAGTTCTCTTAGATTCATAAATAATTTTGTATACATTACTGCTTAGTTAGAAATGGAAGATTTTTTTTTAACCTATTCTCATATCTGTTGTTGGATGTTCTATTTAACCCACATATACTGCTGTTCACTGTGCTGCTGACTTGTGCCATCTGCCAATACTATCTGAAAAATTACTACAGTGAAAAGTCAAAGCCTTTGATAGCTGCACTATTCCAACTGATAACATCACTCACGGTGTTTATTTCATGTTACAGTTGTCTTTCTATATTGTAACACAGCAAAAAATGTGCAGTTTGGAAGTGCTGAAGGTAATTTTGACACTGCCTTTTCAGTGCCCCATTGTGGTTTAGTATTTCTACTGTCAGATTGGCTTCATAGTTGCTTAGAAAACTAATGATTGGAGAAGAAATTGAAGGTGCTAATTGTCTTTAAAAGTTTCTGAGTGTCAATTCAAATGATAAGGGAAAAAACCACGCAAGCTGTTTCCCAGTGTTAGGTTAATTTTTATTCTTATGTGTCCAGGCTTAGGAACGTGTGTGGCTGCAATCATGCCTCTCCTCTCCCACTTCTTTATTTTTAAAAACAGCTGTGTCACTGCAAATCCCTGCCATCTGCCCACCATCTTCTGTAAAGCTGTACAGACAATCTCCACTTGTACCTTCTAGTACCTATTTTTCCTCACTTGCCTGTGATTGTACAGATCTGATTTAGAGAAAGCAAATGCTGTAATATTATGCTGCTCAAAAGCTTTTCTATTATGCAGAAAGTTAAAAGCATCAGTTACTCTCTGGCGAGCACAGCTGCAGGGTATACATGGGCTTGAAAAAGAGATGTGATTTTGAGAACCGGTTTAGAGAGCCTTATTTGTGTCTGCTTCCTTTTACTGGCAGCATGGCTTTCATCTCTGACCTTCTATTAAGGCTGATGTGAGAGCTAAGCTTTTCTTCCATTTTAGCTGTTTCAACAGAAAATTGAAAGTGTATGTAGCAGACAAGGTGCAGAGAAGCAGAGGAAGATTTAGAACAAGCAGTTTTTCTTAGAGACGTGGATAGCTAAAGAAAAAAAACAAAACAAAACGGGGGTTACAGCAGAGGATTGTTTTTTCCTTATAGTTTCAACATGAGCTTTCAACTGTAAAGGCTGAGCTTAAGTTATTGTTTGCTTTGCCGAAATATACTGATTCCATGTCTGTATGTCTCAATGCTTTGAAGCCATGACATGTGAATATAAACTCCGTATCAAAGTAAAATTTATTTTAGTCCTGCAAATATGAGGCCATGCATTAAATGAAATTTTGGTCTGTGATAATTTATAGATGGTGCATTTGAACAATCCCTTTAAAACATGTATTTTGTTGATTCTGCCAAATGCAATAATTAAGCTATGATACTGGGCATTAGAATGAACATAGCTCTTAATTAGGTGATTGCAGGTGACAAATATAATTCATAGTCATATTTTAGACTCCTTAGCCCTGTTATTTAAGCACAACTTAGCCATGAAACACTTTCCAGTCCACAGCATTTGTTGCCTGCAAAATTTCTTTAATGAAGTGCAATTTTAGCTCTTTGTTGACTATACTGATGCAGAATCTGTCTCTTGAAGGCTTCCATTCTTTTGCATTTGTGAATTCCCTCTGTAATGCTGCATTATTTCTCTGCATCCATACTGGAAAATCAGTTCCCAGAACTTTCCTTCTGAG